TATTGTCCTGATAGTATGATGAACATTCCCGATCATAAAGATCATAATTCTTATTAGTATTGTCGGCTAAAACCTCATCACAATTGATTTGTGTGCCATTGTTTGGGTTGGTGTTTAGTGTTTCTTGTAAAAATTGCTCAATTGCTGAAATGTAACAAAGTTCCTACAGATAACTGTGTGTTTTTCAATACTCTCTGTGGTCGGTCGAATATATAACCAACTTTATCTACTTACCTTCCACATCGTGTTTGAGAGCTGCAAACTGGTTGCCTTGCAGGGATAGATATTTTAATGATTTACTCATTGTGTTTAAGGTTTGGAATGGTACTGCAGTTAGTGTGTTGTAGGCAGCTGAGAACACTTCGACTTTTTGAAGTCTATATCTATGGGCGAATCTCGTTTTATTTAGCAATTCTTCATCATCTGAGATATTGCCATATGAAAGATCCAAATGCATATTTGTAGCTGCAACAAAATTAATTTAGACGTATTTTCAGATTTTATAGTAACAGATAATATACTAAATGTGTGTCGTTAATGAACATCCGTTAAAATTTTGTAATGTATTGAATTTAAAATGATTAAATGAAACCAACAGCAATTAGAAATACTGTCGATACCACCGGTCAATATCGATACCAAAGCAGCTTAGCATATACTATCGATATACAGATGCCGTCAACAATCTATCGATTAATAAATAAATGTTTGCGTTCTCAATTCACGCTAGAAAACAAAACTTAAAATGGAAGAATTTTGTCGAATTTGCGCAAGAAACGATGTCAGCTTAGTAAATATATTCGATCAACGGGATCAACTGGAGATGGAGCCACCATTGATTGACATGCTGAGTGAATTGGTCACTTGTGAAATACAACTCAATGATCAATTGCCGCAGAACATTTGCCTCTCCTGCAGCTCAGCTGCCAGAAGTGCATTTCATTTCAAGCGTTTGTGTGAACAAAACCATGAATACTTTTGGCAGTTGCTGAGTGCCGAGAGTAACCCCAACTGCGATGAAGAAAATACACACTTGCACTCTTCCATTGAGATTAAAGACGAGCCTGTGGAATATGAGCAACAGGGTAGCAGCACAAACAATGAAAACATTGAAATTATCACTGCAATGGATGAGGAGGATAGAGAGGAGGAAAAAGAGGATCTAACTACTGAAAAATGTGATGAACAGACGTCATTTGAGTGTCTGATATGCGGAGGAAACTATGCGTCTAAGGAATTCTTAGACATTCATACCCGTAACTGTAACCGCAAAACTTATTCATGTACCTACTGCTCAAAGATTTATTTTTCGCATAGCAGCCTCATTATTCACACACGTATACACACCGGCGAACGGCCGTATAAGTGCCCGATTTGCGAAGAGGGCTTCATAAGAAAAGATAATCTAACCAAGCATATATATTCACATACTGGTGAACTTCCATACGAATGTCAACACTGCTTGAAGTGCTTCTCACATCGTAGCATTCTTAATAGGCATCTTCGTATTCATTCGCGGGAAAAATTATGGAAATGTCAATACTGCGGCGAGATCTTTGAGAGTAAACACTTTCTTCGAACACATAAGAATAATCACCCGGACTGTAAAAGAGGTTCCGGAGGCGATGTAATGAATGCTTCTATTCTGAGGAAAGATCTCAACTCAGAGGAGGTCACGTTATCTGGCACAAGTAAAAACAATTGCTCAAAATCTTTCAAACCGAATGATGACAAGGAAACTAGCTATAAGTGTCCAAGTTGTCCTCTAATCTTCCTCACTGAGATTGTTTTCAAGAAACATATTCAAACGCATTCCGATAAAAACGAGCCGCATCCGGAAATGGAGCAGGCAGACATAGACATCCCTACAGGTGTTGATAGTAGTCAAGACAGTTATCCAGTTCTGTTAACTGAAATCGTACCTATAGAATCTTCTGAGAATTTAACCAACGAAAATAATGTTGAAGCAATTAGTTGCAATGCCAACTTAGATGAAAGTACAGAAATAACAGAGTATCCCAATGAAGATCAAGATTGCGAAGTTAATTCATATACAAATTTAAAAAATCAACTTCTTCTTACTGAACTTGTACCTATCGAATTCTCTGAGGAAAATACAAAAAGAAACGGGTTCTCCAAAGAAGATAAACCCAACTTTCTCAACAAACGTAATAGTCAAGCAACAAACAATGACTGTAAAAACTTAAACAAAAATAAAAAGAATAGAGTTCTTTTGACTGAGCTCGGACCCATCGAATTCACTGAGAAAGAAGACAAACATTCTAACTGGAAAGATAAGTTAGCTAAAATTAGAGAGATACGCAAGCTCACTGCTAAGAAAATTCATCAGTGTAAGCGGTGCGAAAAGAAGTTTCCTACCGTGACTGCTTTGAGACAACATTATCGCATCCATTCCGAAGAACGTCCCTATAAGTGTCCATTCTGTCGGAAAACATTTAAAAGAACTTCAAGTCTTCAAGCCCACATGATTGTCCATGAGTGCAAATACTGCTATAAATCATTTAGAACAAAAACTAAACTATTGGGTCATGGGTGCCCAAAACGTATTGATATGTCGTAGGCTTAAGTACTCTCTGTAGAAATTAAGATGCAAAGAAATTACAAATTATTATTAGTTAAAAATATATTTTGAAGCATTGTGTACTTTTATATATGTATTTTACATATTTCTCATGTTCAATGGCTTCAGGAAATAAAAATATAATACAGTCCACGGATACCTGCCTATTTCGACGTATATTTTGGCTCACCACGCAATTAGTTTCAAGCGGAATATATTTTTGTGAAGCTTTCTGATATAGTAACAAGCATTGAGTTTAGAACAGTAAAAATGGATTAGAAATGTTTAAAAAGCGTTTAATTGGTGAATTTGTAGAAATTCTAGCGAGTTCTTTATTTAAGAACAACCATCCGCTTTCTCTTTCTTTATAGTTCTCTCTCTCTCTCTCTCGCTCTCTCTCAGGCTTGTACAATATCTTAAATAGTATACGTACATGTATAATAATAAATAAAGCATGTTCATTCGTAAATTAGCTACCAATTTATAATTTTTAATCAGTTACGTTTGATAGAACGTTGAACACATTTATAATAATATTGCGTTTATTTGTGTGCTTACCATACTTAGCACTTGTGGTTCTTAGAGTTCCATTAGGAAATGTCCACCATAGTATTTCCTGTTTAATGTTATCCAAAAGACATGTATTCCCATCATCAGTGCCGTATTTGACAAATAGGGAGCTAAGATCTGTCTCCTCAGTGGAATCTGTGTTGGTCTCTGGACCTTCCGTATTTTGGTGAGCGCTTTCAAACGACGTATTTAAATTTTCACTCAAATGCAAACTACTTTGAACAGGAGTTTCAGGCACTACTTCTGCAGCACTGATATTCCAATGAAGCAGAAGCGCAATCAAACAAGCTTTTAATACGATTGCCATTTTTGCGTTATTTCACCAAACTTTTATCGAAAGTATTTCTATGTTTTTCTAAATTTCCTCGGTTTGTTGCTATTAGTATATTGCCTTTCATTGAACTTTTTTTTTTTTTTTGCTTACATTCTTTTAGTCCAATATTTCTATTTATAACTTTCAGTTATCTTGCTCCACATACTTCTAACAAATTTGACACATTCAGTTCGGTAACGCAGATTATTTTGCAATATTTCCGATCGATTGGCGACATAATACAGCACTCTAGAAAGCACAAGCGCGACTAATGGTCAGAAATGTATTGCTCTTTGGGCTTTGCGAATACGAGTATGAATAATATTTATTATAACACGATAGGGCTTATCAATTTTGGCAATATATTCTTTTGCTTTTGAATGGGTTCCGGTTATCAGTTTAGCCGCTTTATTATGTTAAAACACACAGCTCTCTCTCTCTCTCTTTCTCTCTCTTTCTAGCACACCCACACCTCAAACATTGGGTAAATAATTGCGGGAAATAATAGGCATGATAGCCGCCAACAATTCGTTACTGAAGTAGGGCTAAAGCACGCACTACTCTTCCTATCCAAAAAATACTCTTTTTTTTATAAGAGAGTCGAGTTAAATATAATCATAAATTAAATGGACTACTTTAAATTGAAGTAAATAATGCTCAATAATATAGATTATTGCGAATCTGATACGCTTATAGATATGGCCAGCATGATAAGCCTTTTTTCTGTTTTGCTGGTAATGGCAAATGTAAGATTAGAGTTAGAATTTGTGTTTGCTTCATAAGCGATTTTTGATTTCATTTCGAACATCTAATTATCCATCCATATTAAAAACCTCAGATTTTGTTTAATATTTGCCAAATTCAAAGTTGAATTTTGAATTTTCAAAAATAAAACGCTTTTAATTATCGATAAAAAAATACGTTATTTGCAATCGCTGCTGCCAGGAAAATGCTATTCTGCCAAAGGATCTTCTGCTAATGACAGCAAAATATAAATATTTATTCACATAAATTATATTATAAATTTCCCAGTTGCATTACACTATATCAACATTTAAACATTTACTTATTTATTTAAGCACATGACATTATAGTAGGTCCAGTTTGCTTTTGTGCAACGCAACAGAAGAGCAGCGCGCACAGCTCTAGCGTATGCTCAGTGTGCGCCACCCACCACCCAACGCCCAACACCCACCCTCCTAGATCACGATTTTTGAATTACAACTCACAGCAGACGACGCGTCGTCGCAATGCTCGTGCAGATTGTTTGCAATCTAAGCGCAACCACCCAAACCACCCCTTTTCGCTGCCACCTTCGTAGCTGGTTAAACAACCACCTTCTGTTTTCACTCACTCTCACTCGGCCGCTCTCTGTCTCCATCTCGCTCACTCTCACTCTCCCTCTCTGTCAATCGACCAGGACCCGCTGAACGGAGCCATCGGCTGGCTCGTGCTCGTGCTCGTGCTCGTGCTCGGCATTTCGTTCGTTCGCTGTGTTTGTGCTTTGGTTGTTAGATTCGAGTCGCGTGGCTGTCAGTTTGCATGCGTCTCCGTTCGTGGGTGAAAGTCCACAATAGTAAGCCGCTGCGATTTGTGGCACTCAGCACTCGGTACTCGTGCAACGTGTTGTTAGCAGCGTGCCGTATCCGTCGGTCTTTGTGAGTCACCCACACAGCGCCGCTAGACGCTAGAAAAAAGCCGGGAAATATTGTTGTTTATATATGCGCTGTCCAGTGTTATGGTCAAGCGGCACTTGAAAGTTTTTTTGTGGGAATATGTGCGATTTTGTGAAAATTGAGTTGCCCAAATGCCGCTGTGAAATGCCAAAGGCAAACAAAGGCTCTTCAGATTGTCATGGCGTCTTTTCGGGACCGTAGACAAGCAAACAATACAGACCGAATCCAAACACAAGTGCGTCTCTAAATTAAGCCCCCTTCAAATGGGCACTTTGGCTACATAATAGACCTTTGTGTGAGCCCGTGTGTGTGTGTGTGCGGACTATCAGCTAGATTGCAGCATGGATGCTCTAAAAGCAGGTAAATAGTAACAGTAAAGCCCAAACTTTACCGTACAACAACTGTCGCGCACGTTCCGCCTGCTGTTGTGATTGTTGTTGTTTTGGTGGTGTCTTTAAAAATCGGCTGCATTTTGGGGTGTGTTTTTTAGCCGGGCCACAGGTATGGGATAATCAATTCCAGAAATTTTAATGGAGCTAACTTTCACTTGACGATTTGGTAACTTAGAAAGTTCTCTTTCTCTGTCCATCATCATATTGTAGCATAGATATCCTCAAATTTGTTTAGCACTTATTGAAATTGATACAGCTGATCGAAATCTCACGTCTAATTTAGCAGAAAATCGAAGCACACACAATGCCAAGTCATGATATGGCATATCTCAAAACTAAACAGAGAAAGAACAGCACGAACAAAAGGAAAACCGGGCGAGTTCATTTGAAAAAGGAAAACTCCATTTTTGGTTTTGTTCCTTCCTTTCTTCGGCCGCCTGAATGCATTGAACTCCTGTCTGACCCTAGCTGGGGGTTGGCCAAATGTCTGCCCAAGTCCTGGGCGAGGAACACCGCATAATGCACACACATCGTGAGGTAGTCGAATAATGAAAGGACAACACGCGATGGCCGGTAGGACGAGGGCACATAAACATATGTAGTAAAGTCGAAGGATCTGTCCATATTAGATATTACTTTATTACACTTACGTTTCGTATGCAGCTCGACAATTTACTTAATAAGTTCTAATTGCACATAAAACTCGGCAAAATACTCATAAATTATTATTACGTTCAACGTGTTGCGGGCCCTGTTAGGCGAGCCAAGCAGGAAAACTATTTAAAACAGCAACACATAAAACTTTTTAGTGGTTCGCAAATGAGAAACTATTAAAAAGTGCGGAAAATTCTTGCGTCAAGCTGCGGCCGCCACAGGCCGTGGTAGGACGTTAGTTTACAAAAAAAAAATGTATACCTTTTGTGTTAACCACATTTAGAGGAAATGTGTTTAAGGCTTAACCTATTCCTGTCATCCTGCACAGTTTGCATATTATAAATGGGTTTCCTTCAGCTCGACAGGACGAACAAAAAATGGTTCCATTTTATTTATACATGTACAAAACTTGCTTTTAAGCTGGGGAGCTGCTGCGTAGGAGATGCTTTATGCTTGTTCACAAAATTTAAGAGGCTATATTAGGATGGATATGTTGCATACATTAAGTGGGGCAGTCGGAAATGAAGAATTACTTTATCCTTTATAAGGCAATCGCTATTATTAATTATGGCTATACGATGTTGAATGTAATCTACGAATATTTATATAGATATTCATATACTATTAACAGATGAAAATATCAAAATATAATCTTTAATTATGAATATATATGCTACGAAAAAGTTAGATATAAGAAGCAACTTGTTCAGCCATCTATGTTACATTTTGGGGCTTGGGGAACTTTTAAATAATAAATTCGAGGAAGAGATCTAAGCCCTTGTGGGCAATTTGATTTGCCCTGTTGATTACAAATGTATGGTACTATATTGTATTCTCTCTCCATGAAGACATTTCTAGTTGCTAAAGACTATATCTTTCATAGTTTTATTACTACTTGTAATGGCTTAGTATTGGCTTTTCTATATAGATATATCTATTTTCTCTATAGATACATTCGCCCCTTGGAGGAGTAGAAAATCATAAAGATTGTTTAATAAGTGCAGCCTATGAATGAGTATCATGCCGTCGATTACTCCCTCGCAGCAATGCTTCCTATTTGCTTTTAATTGTAATAAAAGTTTGTAGTAATAAAGGAGAATGCATAAAAATAAACACGTAACTTTACTTATTATGCTATTTTTTGTGTTTTTTTTTTGCCCCTTACCCTAGGTGTATAGTTACGTTATTTTTAATTTCAAGTAAGCTGACAGTCCTTTCAATGTTCCGCAGGAGAACACTTTGAGTGAAAGCAAAAAACAAGGAAGGAGTGCAAAGCTGTACTGGATTTATGCCTGACCTGCCAAACTGCTGGAAGCTCGAGCAGCTGAAAAGTTTGGCTTAACAAGGAGCATTGGATTAGTAATTTGTTAAGCCAACAATTTACATTGTCTCGCAGGGCTTCAGTTAGTTTTCGTTTTACAAAGAGCTGCACCCCCGCTTCCTGGCATGTGTGCTGCATGCAAATGCTGCAAGTATCGCATAACAGGGTCCAAGTGTGAATGGGGGAGGGGAAGAACCACTTAGAAGGCTTCAGAGAGTGCATTTAGCCTTTTGCATTCGCATTTTGCATTTTACATTTTGCATTTAATTGTAATTTTCAAGTTAAACTAAATTAAGGAACTTTTATAGAGGTATTTTCTTGGTACAATAATTTTCTCATTTAGCTGAAATAAGTTTTTACTTTTGCTCACTTTGCTTTGCTTTCCGAGAGAGAGAGGGAGAGAGGAAGCGAGAGGCGTGAGAGAGAGAGAGAGTCATTTCATTTTGCTTGATGGCGGTTTGCGTTTCCACTTGAAGAACTTGTTGTTGACTTAATTGCATAAGTTTTTAGTTTAGTCCCCTGACTTGAACTGAATGGAACTTTAAGCAATATGCTGAAAGCAATTCAAATTCACATGGCATCACGCAATGCAGCTTAGTAAACCGAAATAAAAAACGAAAAGTGTCTTTAGAATGCTGAAGCGAAAGTAATTTACACGATAATAGCTAAAGTATTTGCACCCCTCCACCCTCTCTCCCCGCATCACTCCACTGTTTACCTATGCCACACACCTTATTCAATTTGCATGTGTGTCATAAATTCGACAGCAATAAAATTCAATCACATATTTCATTACAATATATACAGAAGGAAAAATTTAATTTACTTTTCGGTGCCAAGCGACGGAGCATGCATAAATCGTGCTCCAGCTCCTATTCCTCCTCCTCCTGCTGCTGCTGCTGCTGCTGCTGCTGCTGCTGCTGCTCCCAGCAGATGCTGAGCTCTTGTTGCTTGCTGGCTTCCTGGTTCACCTAAGTTTCAATCTCATTTGTCTGTCTTCCGGCTTGCTGCCACCCCCACCTGCCGCCCCTTATTTATGACTTGGCCAGAGCCCGCAGGCTGCGTGTCCTTAAAGTGTTGTCTTGATAAGGCGGCAGCTCCCTGTCTATGACGTGTCTGTCTGCTGTAAAAGTTCGCGCACATTTCGTCGTGTATTCAAATTAGATTTATCCACAGCAAATTTTTATGGCCGAATAGCGTCAGGCTGCCCGCCTGATTACTTTTCCGGGCGCACTCTCATTACTTGTAAAAACAGTATTAAAAATATTTTGTAATTTTATTCATGAGTTTCCACAAAATTAAATGAAAACAAAGCGGCCTGACCACAACAAACGTTTGCCTGTCCAAACAAATTAAGAATTGGCATGTGCTCTTCATTCCCTTTCAGTTTGCAAAAGTAAAAATCTTTTATATTTTTTAAATAATTATATTATATACAAATTGAAAGATATGTAGCATATACAAATATTTACATATAGTATATTGCAATATAAATTTAAAAAATACCTTTTAAGTTTTGCTCAAAGAATAATAATAAAATTTAATCAATTAACATACGCAGACTCTATTTGAGCTAGCTAAAAGCCTTTGCTAAAGAACTTCCCCCACTTTTTAGGGTATTCGATACACATTACTCTAAAGCTAAATAAAAATATGCATAATTTTGACATAAATAATTTGCATTCATTAAAAGCCATATTAATTCCAGACATGTTTCGTTTATTATTATTTCTAAGCATCAAAATTGTTCCCTTCTCAAACTACGCAGATCTTCTACAATATATTGCGCAGTGGATTCAAAAGCTGCGAATTGAAGTGGGATTGAAAGAAATTTAAATTGGTTTTTTATGTTGCAATATATATACATATATGTATATATATGGTATATATATATATATTCCTATGTCTAGTGTAATATTTAGGTTTCTCTGTCAACGTTTCCAATTTAATGAAAATCAATGCTGTGGCGCCCGAAAGACGCCTTTAAAAATTGACTAGTCAGCGTGAAAGCCGCGTAGACATCTATATGTATGTATGTATGTCTGTATGTATGTATGTATGTTTAGCGTCGCTTCGATGTCAATGGCTTCTAATGAAGTTGTGCTAATGCTGGAATAAATCTAAATAAATAAACATACATAAGTATGGCATGCTATGCTACGCTATGCTATGCTCCGTATTCGATATCGAGCATAACAATCACTTAGATGCTGGCACGCCCCCTACCCCGTCTGCGGGCGCAGAGCGCAACCACCCATGGGGCTGCGGCGCTTGAAGGGATTCAGTTCGCAAGACAAATATGAATCCATGATGACATGATTGTTGTTGTTTCTCTCCCATCGGTTGCCTAAAGTAGTTTTTTTGTTTTTTTTTTTGCTGTTGTGGTGCTGGGTGTGTTTACAAACTCTGATTTCGCTGTTGGCCTACTTATTTCCCATAGTTTCATCCCCGCTAAACCGCAATTCCATGTTTTTGCAGCGTATTCCTTTTTTACACACTTCAAAAATCGATTGGAGTGCGCCCAGAGAATGCCATGTAAATTGAATGAGAGCCAATAGCTTAATGCTGAATGATTTGCATCGAGTAATTTAATCAATCTGAAATGCTTTGTGCGTTCAGCTGTTAAAAGTTGAAATATCTAAACCGCAGCCGACATACTCGCACAGGCGAACGGCATTCATTATGCATTGACAAGGACTTGGCTGCACTTCCGAGAGCTGCAACAAGGATATCAGCCATTCCAGCCGAGCGTGGAGCTTGTTGAACTCCTGCTCATGTGTGTAGGAAATAGAAAATGTTGTAGCATTCAAGTTTACGGTTCAGTCAGTTACGGCGACAGAGATCCATGAGAACGTCTTGGCAAGTCAGTGACATGGCTAATGGGGGTGCTGATAGGTGTAGAAATTGTGATAAATACGATGAAAATAGTTTAATACTCTGGAATCACACTAAGCCGAAGAGATATATCTATATCTCTAAGTATATGTCTATTTCATTAAGAGAAATTTAGTTTTCCCATAATTGCAACCACGATGCATCTGAAATATGATCCGTTGATGGGTGATGGTGAATTCTAACTCCGATATCTTGAACAAAATATTAAAATATTTTATATTTACTGCTTGCAGCTCCCTTCTATAAATTCTCTCCCGACGCCTCTGGGCACTTTGTTAGTTGTTGATTTGCCAACTTCTGCTGCTACTCAAATATTGAGTAGTTGAGCGGCAAACTCATAAAGCTTGAGCACAAAGGTAGCCCAAGGAGTTAACCCAGACCAGCTTGGAGTCGTGTCGAGTCGAGTAGATTCGAATCTCGTCCCGTCTCGGAGTCCATTCAGCTTGCATGCAATTCTAGCATTTGCCTGCGGCTGTCTGGCCACACACACACACGCACACACCTGAGCATAGAACATGTACATAGCACATTGTAAATGCTCGCATTTGTTGCTTTTCTCTGTTTTCTCCTCTTTATTTTCATTTTTATTTTCATGCTTATTTATATATCCATATGGCAGGCAACCCTTTTGGTTGTCTGAGTTGCTTTAAATGGTCTCTCGCATGGACCTCGACGTGGGCGTCAGCCTCGCTTCCTCTTTCTTTTTTTCTATTTTACCTGGCGCCGTGATATGGCGACAGCCACAAAGAGTAGAAAAAAATTGCTCAACTGTTGGACTAGTTGGCGGTAGGTTGGTGGCTTGTGTGGTGTCGGTGTTGGTGTTGGTGTTGGCGTTGCTGCTTGTGTCAGATGCATTTCCCAAAGCTATTTTAATATGCCTTCTGTTGACGTGAAACTCTTACTTAGTTTTGATAAGGGACAAGTGTGGGTGTGTGTGTATGTGTGTGTGTGGGAGGATGTTGCTTTAACTAAGCTGCGGAAGTGCTTAGCTCTCTCGACAACCAGCCGCCCTTGTATTGCAGCTCATCTGAAACTCCTGTTCGCCTCGTCCCTCAATGTCAATTGTCGCTGCTTCTCCTGTGCAAGTTGGCTGCTGTTGTGGAAAATCCTGTAACGTAGCTAGTCTGCCACATAATTTGCCGATAATTTGTACTGCACTCGGCTTCGCACTCGTTCCCATTCACGAGCGACTGCATGTCAAGACCACATGAAGCGCAACTTGAAAGCAACTGTAATTATAATGAATTGGTCTGGCACGGACACACGATATAAATAAATAAATATATATATATATATACATATATATATATATTTAACGTGTGTGTTCGGGTTCATTGTCAGGGCAACAGTTGATAATTTGATAGCAATGCCAGTGTCGATTCTGCTGCTCAATTAACAGTCCAGCACAGTCCATTATTCCCACTTAGTGGAGACAGCCACCACTGCGTATACGTAATGCTGCCACTGCTGTGTTGGGCTATTTATGGCTTGGGTCAAGTGCAGCTCTGTTTATCTACTCATAAATAAGCTTTCTTTTGACAGAAGCGGCGAGCGCTCGCTACTTGGCCTCGTTCATGCAACTGCAGCAAACACAAGTCTTATTTACAGCTGACTAAAGTAGTTTAAGGCGAACGCAGAACGTTCTACAATGGAGTGACATACATAGAAGAGGGGCAGCAGCTGTTGTATGATGAACTATGAAATTGGCTGTGGCTTGAAAATGTTGTTTTTTATTTGTACAGAAATACATATACATATATCTAAGTATCTCTATATAGTATATATGTATGTATATGTACTTCGTCGTTGTATGTGCATGTACATTTATGTATCTATTTGTCACTGCTAAGTGAAGGGGAAAATAGAAAAGTAAATTTTCATTATTATTAAAATAAATATTTTCATAATAATATTATTTATATCATTACCATATATTGTAAACATATTTGTACATTTTTATTTTATTATTGTTTATTATTATTATTATTTTTATTTATTTTTTATTTATTTATTTAGTTTTTTTTTTTTATTTATTATTTATTTATTTATTTTTAAATAATACAATTGAGAGTAATTTATTAATATTTGCTTTTATTATTATTATCATTAATGTTTTTTGATAAATATATTATTTACTATTTTTCAATAGTATTTTTTTTATTATTTTCATTTTTCTTACATTTATTTATCGTTAGAATTTAATGAAAATCAAGAATAATTCCTTAAACATGATTACTAAAATACTGAAATGTACTGCAGTCTTTGCAATTTGTTTTCTTAAAATTGAAGCTTAAGCACATTACTCAGATACATTCCATAAACCAACCACAAGAGTAAATATATGGGGAGTTGCACTAAGGAAATCCCTTTTAGTGCTTCTGCTTGCGCTGCAGTGCTTCAATTAAGTTTATTTTGAGCACATAAGCCACATTGATGACATAATAACATTGTATGGAATCCATTAAGGCTGTAAGCATTTTAAATAATATTTACACTTGGCGATGAAAACGAAAGCGGATATCGCATGCGGGCCAACAAATGGACTTTTCCAGCCGGCTCTCGCTGCCATCCTTATCTACTGATTAGAGGTAAACAGAGCGTGTAAATGTTTGAATACGAATATTTGAAACGAGCATTTCCCTTTTTCTATTCCACTGCTCTACTCACTTCTCTCTTCTCACTTCCTCTCTTCGCTTTTTTATTTTGTCGCATGCGGTTGCTTTTTGCGCCGCATTTCAGCACTCGGAAAAATTCCACCCTCGCACACACACACACACATGCAGAGAGGGTCTGTAAAATGTGCATAACATTGAGAAAGCGAGGCACAAAGTATAATCAAGTAAGGCTAAGGGGCGGAAACGCCATTCACATGCCACACGCCAACTGGTCATGCAGCGGGGCATTGACATTTTGCCTATCAAACTGCCCTCGCTAACAACAACAACAGCAGCAGCAGCAACAACAACAACAACAATGTATAACTTGGCAATTTTGCAATCGCATTGGCTTTGATTTTCCACGCTGCGACAATTCTGGATCTCTGCACCGGTCAGAATTAGGATGCAGATACACATCCTACGGCCATGGGCGGTCCATGGCCTGGCCTGGCCTGGCCTGCGCTGGCCTCACAGTGCAGTTAATAGTTTAGAAACGGGCGGGCAGCAGAACCCCATGTCGCACATTAAAGTCAGATTTACGGCTCGAACTCCTGGTTCTGGTCCTCTGCTCCCTGCTCGCTTCTCCCTGCTCCCAGGTCCTGCCCCTGTGTTTCATCAATATTTATGATGATGGCGTTGCGGGGCGGGTGCCAGAGAGAGAGATTTGCAGATTGGCTAGTGTAAAATGTGCAATTGATTGTAAATTTACGACTCTCACTTGATCGTTACGCATGCAGCTTCCAGGCGCACACGCACAGTGGTACCAAATCCATGCAGACCAACATTAGTTGATTTTAATTGAAATCGATGTGTCGAAGCTGTGAAATAGTATAAAGTGAAGTATTTTAGTATTTCTAGTTTATTATTTATTTAACGAAAATCGAATTACATTTCCACAACCGGCACAGTGTGATGATGCCTATGTAAATTGATTATAATTGAAAAGCTGTGTGAGCTTTGGTTTTTAATTGAAATTCTTTAGTGTTTTGCTTTTTATTTTATATAAATATTTTATTTATTAAATATTACATTTTCGTTTATTCTCAATTTTATTTGATATATTTTTGCATGTAACTAACATTTATTTCACACATATTTTTACTGAATTATTGAAGCTTCCAATTCAATAAAAAATATTGATTATATTTTTCTTTTTAGTATTTTTTTTCTGGCAGTTTTTCAATTCGGTTTCGGCATGAACTGAAGCCCTATATGTTTGGCTATGTTGAAATTCTTTAAATATTAGGAAATTTGCTGCTGCTTTCATTGGGCTTCAAGAGCTACCCTAAATTATCATCCCCCTCATTGTTATGGACTGTGGCGTACTGCATTAGCACCCTGTAGCACGTGCGCCTGATTGGACCTACTCGGCTCAGTTTGGCCGGTCAGCGAAACCCAAATTAGACCAGCTGGAAGCTGACTGTTGCCAAAACAGATACATCGAACGGCTGGCCAAATGAACATACGCACGCGAATGTAATTAATGACCGGGCGTAGCTCAATGACAGCCGATTTCACTAATAACATATGAACCATTAGGCTTTAAAGGTTTTGCGAGCCGGCCAACCTGGCCGCATGTGGGATATGGCAATTGATTGCGGTTTTTAGGCTCCGCTCAGCTTTGCGGCACATGGAGGTAGACAGAGGCAAATATTACCCATAAATAAATAACGAACAATAGCGCAGACGACATGCCATAAAAATAAATTGAAAATAAAACACAATACAATCCCCAGTTTCTTTCACTGTATTTGGGATCATTCTTAGAATTGAATAAAGACACTAAAAAAGCAAAAGAAACTCAAACTCACTCTCTCTAATCTGATCAGAGCTTGCAGCAATTACTGCACGCTTGTCTCGCCCATTGTTTGGCCTCTGGTTTAACGTCAATATTTTCTTCTTATTTTCGTTTATTTTCAGAAAAATGCCAAGCCCAATACCGTTGGCATTATGTTCTAATGGAAAATCTCTAATCGGCCAGAAGCCCAACAGCAACAGCAACAGCAACAACAACAACACGCGCTACAATAAATTACAGAGTTGAGCGTACCCTGCCACGCCCACTGGCTGGGTGGGGTGCATGGTAAGGCGCTCAACGGCGCCCCACATAGCGCAACAGCAATAACACTAACGTTAACGGCTCAATTCGTCATACACCCAGGACGCCATCTATTGGCAAGTAGCAGAAGTTCGCACCCAAGTCGTCCTCGCCGGCGACAATGGCCCGCAGGAAGCGCACAAGAAGGAAAATGCCAACGAATCGAAAGCGGAAGAAGACAGTTGGCATGTCAGGAACAGCAGCAGCAGCATCATCCGCATCAGCATCTGGCCACGAATCAGTAGTCAAGTGGAAGATTATGATATCATCAATAATATTTCTGCTATTCTGCTGCACAAGTGAGTGACAGACAAGTCGAGGCGAGTCGAGTCGAGCTCGCGCCGTGGCAATCCGCATGGATGTCTGAATCTTTAATTTCCCTATGTGTATAAGTGCGAGTGTGTGTGTGTGCGTGTAAGTGTGTGTGTGAGTGTATGCTTCTGTTACTTGGGTTTTCTTTTGCTTAGCCATTTTTCTGCACTCAGCCTACATTTATCATAGCAATTTGTTCTAGCTCTTAGCTCTCTCTTTTGTTCTCAACTAAATTATGAGTCGGAGTTATCAATTCAACTGGGAATGGGACGCAGCGAAAGTGCTTTTCCTGCTCCTTATCTAAGCTTGATTTATGCAATTGTTAGACTTAATGCTCTCTACAACTACTTTTTGTTTGTAGTTAGTTAAATATGGTTGAGAGTGTCAATAACAGGCAGATAGAGAGAAGGAGAGAGAGAGTGGGAAGGCGAGAGCTTTAGCATTCCCTGGGGTATTTGGTTAATGACAGCCAAACTTTAGCCAAATGCGTTAACTTGATAAATGTACTTCAGTTTCGAATATCAGACTTGATTCTGTCAGTCATTAGAGTTATTTTTGGCATTATTTTAACTACAGAAATACTAGTCAACTTCAAGTAATCCGAGTAAATTCTCTTTCTCTTTATAAGCAACTGTCAAAGAAAAGTTCATTCAATTAACTCTGCTGCATATCTCTATTGCATCTCTGGCACTCTATTTTCGAGTAAATGAATTTTCTCTTATCTGCAGATTGAAGCAGGAGTGAAGTCTGCAGGGGTCGCAGCAGCAGCTATAATACAGTTTTATATGTATATAATCCTATATTGTGTATATATATATATATATATATATTTATATATGCTTTTTTCTTCGAAAAGATGTCAGCAGATAGAAATCAATAAATATTTTCTAGCTGCTGTTCGCTTCCATTTGTTTAGCCTGTCACACTCACCTATTGAAAATCTTGACTTCGACAAAGCAGGCGAAATAATGCTGAGTGTGGGGTTTCTGCTGGCAGAGTGGCAGCAGGTTATAAAAGAGATTTCGTCTATGCCAACTGGGGAGCACTTAAAGGCAACAGCAAAAAAAATAAAAAGGAGGCGTCAAAAGGGGCTTGGGGCGTGGGTGTGGTTTCCACTCCTGCTGGCAGACAATAAGAAATAAATTACAAAGACTTGTGCATAATTCTTAACTCATTCTCCCTCTCTCTCTCTCTCTGTGTCTCTCCCACTCTCTTTATCTATCTATCTCTGTATGCTTTGCATGTGGTGATTAATTTGTTTCGTTTGTGGCACGACTTGGCTGGGATTCAACAAAAGGTCACGTGCTGGCGGTGCGCAGGGGTCGCCTGATGTCCCCGAGCACATTCACTGCACTCAGCGGCGACCTGCATGTGCAGATCCAGTTCAGCGGCGACGAGGAGCAGCAACAGCCGCAGCAGCAGCAGCAGCAGCCCGGACAAAGGACCAATATAACACAGCTTCAGCCTCAATATCAAAACAATATAACAGACGGCAGTGTTGACGCCCACTTAAACACTGACAGCAGCTCAGGATTTGGCGTGGGCGTGAGCCAGAGCGAGGCGGAGGGCATGGTGAACACCATAATGAGCACTTTAGTCATTAGCAAAATCGTTAATGATGCTGCCCCAGCTGAGGGGCAGATTGACAGCGGGACGAGCGGCAGCAGCCAATTGGTGCTGCAGCGCCGGCGCAAGGAGATTGTGCAAAATATACCCGTCTTTCCGGATCCCAGGCAGAACATCACCCAGGTGACGGTGCCGTGCCAGACGTTTGCGCGCGGCGGCGGCCTGTACGAGATGCAGGTGGTCAGAAATCTGAAGACGACGGTCAATCGCAGCGATCCGACTCCATTGACGACGACAACCCTGATGCCGGCGCAGGACGAGCGGCTGCTGCAAACACTGGACGTGCGGTGGCCCAGTGCCGAGATGCTGGTCAGCCCCGTGACGCTGCGCACCTATCCCAAGGCGCCTGTCCAGGTCACGCTGCGCTTTCCGGAGGTCAACTGCGAGCGGGCGCTGCACGGAGCCGAGCCCTCGCTGCCAGATTTCTGGCTGGAGCTGATCTACTGTGGCAAGGAGCGCACCTGCTCCTACGATATGGCCAATGTCTCCAAGTCGAGCGTGCTCTTTGCGGAGCAGGTGCACGGCTTTCCCAAGCTGAAGAAGGTGCAGCTGGGCTGCGAGCTGTTCGGCCTGGCTGGCAACTATGCCGTCCAGCTGCGTCCCATGGTGCCGGCGTTGAATGTGCCCACCACGCGGCGTATGCTCAGCGTGGACTGGAGCGACGAGTTCGTCTTCAATGTCTACGCGCGCAGCATCTTTCCCTGCGATCCACACACGGGCGTGGGCGTCCTCTACGAGTATCCCGGCTGCATCTTGGAGCAGGGTGATCGAGTGCGTCTCTATGCCAAGCTGCGCGCAGATGTGGCCTCGCTCAAGCCGCCCACCTCGCTGCACTACGTCGCCGAGCAGCGGGTCGTCAAGAGCCAGCACTCACTGTACTTCAGCTGCGAGCTCTTCTCGGAGAAGTACGTGGAGTACTGCTTCGTCTATGTCAGCCAGGCCATCTCCGGCGCCGTTGCGGATGTGCGCATGGACTGTGTGCCCACGCTACCTGTCAGCGGTACGTAAAGCTCTCCATGGAACAAATTGCGTTTAAGCTGCTTGAAGTTCACTCGTTTGCCCGCTTTCGTTTAGCTCCTTTCAGTTTCGCTAATCACTAATCTGCTTGACTATTCCACAGAATCCGACACGGGCGGCTGGGGCGCCTGGAGTGAGTGGACGCCGTGCTCCACCAACTGCCTGGGCGGCACTCGCAATCGCTATCGATTCTGCGACTCGCCCCCGCCGCGTTACGGCGCCAAGTTCTGCGAGGTATGTACTCAACTTTGGCTTAGATAAACTTTATGCCATCTATTAAACAGTTACTCAAAACTTTGCTCCGGTTTTTTTTTTTGGGGGAGCCGCTTTAACTGCAACTACAACTAAAACGTGTCGAACTTTCGCTGGCAAACTTTTGCTTTTTAACTCGGTCTATAAATTCGTGTAGACACCAACTTCAGTTCAGAGACAATTTGCAGCCGAGGTTCATGATTCAGTTGATTGCTGCTTCTGCATGCTGAATAACAGCATATCTACAAACTAGGCGCACACACAAATACATATAGAGAGATCCCTATCTCAGGGTAGGAGGAGGAGTAGTGCGGGTTGCCTCTCCTGCTGGCAACCATGTACTTGTTCTTGTTCTTGTTCCCTGCTCGTGCTCCTGCTGCTGCTCCAGCTCCTGCTTCGGCTCCTGCTCTTGTTATTGTCCCGACTGTCTGGGCAGAGTGTTACAATATTGCGATCCAGATTGCGTTGGCAAATTTACAACGTTGCCAACGGGCAGCGGAAAACAGAAAGCGGAAAAACACACTTCCCGCTCTCAGTTTTTGCCAGAGAGATGGGCACTACTGCTCTTGGAACTATGCCATCGTCAAATGTGTATTTATGCATATACATGAATGTATTCAACACGGGTCACAGCGCCAACATTTTCTGCAGATTCCGCAAGTGAAGCGCCAGAAAAATGCTGCAAGGAAATCTAATTTTCTGGCTTTCACTAAGGCTAAGCACTCAGTTTTCTCCGTTTTCTCAGTTTTCTGCCTTTTTTAATACACTTATGGGAGCTGCCATTAAATATGCAGGCAGCTGACAAAGGAGTGGCTTTGTTTCATTGTTGCACGCATTACCCAGACAGGGACAGGACGAATCAGACAACGGGAATTGTTACACCTGTATTTGAGAAGAAAGCGGAAATACTTTCACTTCTTTTAATTTTCATTATTGTTCAACAAGGTATAATAAAAGATTGTTGACTTGGATTTGTGTTTTCAAATATTCGTTCGCTTTGCCGATTGTCCTGGCAACGCAAAGCTTTCACAGTTCCTTGGCCTGGCTCGGAGAGCTTTTAGTTTTTATCGCCTTGACAACTGTTTGGCTTCATATGTTGTTTATAGGAATTTGTGGAATTCAGAGAATGTAGTGCTCGAATCGAATACAGTCAATACATCATTTATTGTTGACAAACACAAAATTCGTACTCAACTGAACGGGGAACACAGTCTGAAGAAAAATCGTCAAGATGCCGCCGAAACCAAGAAAGTCCTCGAAGGGCAAAGGCTCGGAGATCAACAAGATGACTCAGGTGGATCGCACTTTCTATGAGCTGCAGATCACGGACTTGAACCAGAAGCTGTCGCGTCTGCGCTCCCATTTGGCCAACATGGATGAGACCAACATCATTCTGCAGACAAAGCTGCAGGACATCGACACGGACCGCACTGATGTGGCTGCCCACCTGGAGCGCACCTTGGCGGAGCGGAATAATACGATAACAGAGCTGGAGGAGCGCCTGGTGGAGATATCGAAGGTACGCAACGAGGAGAAGCAGGTGGCCCAGGATAAGATCGCCGACCTGGAGGGCAAATATAAGGCGATGCACGACCAGCTGACCTCGGAGATAAAGCTCCTCAATGGCAAGCTGAACTCCCTGGATGAGTTTCGCATACAGCGCGATGTCCTGCTCGCCAAGTTCGATGACCAGGAGATCGAGATACGAGAGAAGGAGAAGCTGCACAAGGAGGCGCTCTACAATATGGAGCAGGCCGCTGTCGTGGAGAAGGATGCGCTGAAGAAGGAGGTGGAAGCCAAGCTGCTGCAGGTCTCCGAGGATTTCACGCGCTCCAGCGAGATCCGCAATGCCGGCTACACGCGCCGACTCATCCGTGAGAACATCGCTCTGCAGAAGGAGATCGATTTGCTGGTGATGTCGCAGATCAAGCTGCAGCAGATGTACAACAACCAGAAGGAGAAGCACAAGGAGATCATGGTGCAGTACAGCGCCCTGGATCAGATCAAGAACGAGCTGGTGCGCAACTCCATAAATAAGATCAAGATCATCGAGAGCCTGACCACGAACTACGAGAAGCTCAAGTGCAAGTATGTGGAGGCGCTGCAGTATCGCAGAGCCTACGAGGAGCAGCAGGAGGCGGATCAGATTATCGATGCACGGAACAAAGATGCTGAAGGTAAAATCAAGTCCCTCTGCAGGCGCATCGAGAACCAGACGCTGGAGAAGCGCCAGCTGGAGGCGATCCACGACCAGCATGAGAGCGAAATATTACGCTTGCGCGGCATCATTCAGGAGATCAAGGTCACCGTGCGCGATGCCATCGTCAGCCAGCAATGCATTAAGCTATTCCCCCAGAGACTTGAGGAGGCCAACGTCGAGCCACAGTCAGTCATCGATGAGGTGCGCGAGGAGGCGATTAACATGAATAAAATGGCACGCAGCGACCTCCTCTCCACATTGATGAACATCGTCAGCTCCCACTCGGCTGAGCTGCCACGCACGCCCTCTCTGGAGACCATCAGCACTGTGACCTCATCCCTGTACACGCCGGGCAAAATGGGCTTCATGCCGCACAAGCCGCGGCCCGCTGTTTGTGATCTCTTCCAGACGGAGGTGCTGGACCAACTGCCTGACCTGCAGGTGAAGCTGCCAGAGTGTCTGCTGAAGGGCCAGGTCCAGGCGAAGCCCACTGAAAAGGTTGACGATCATGTCTCCATATATGATGTCGAATTCGGCACCACGCTCTATGTGTCCTCATCCCGTGAAGAGGACGTCATAGAGATGGAAGAGGAGCCGCTCGAAGAGCCCGAGGGCTCCAGCAGCACCGTCTCTGTGAAGAAGGCCAGCAGCGAGCCCAGCGTCGCCGCACCAGCCACTGCCCCATTGGCCAAGCCCGTAGTTGAGGACGTCGTCAAGGCGGAGTCTACCAAGTCGATGCAAAGCTTATCCACCGCCGGCCTGACTGAGCTAACCGGCGAGGATGAGAATGTCGACGAGGAGGATGAGTACGAGATCAACTTGTTCTACTAAAACGGATTCAGTCAGTTATCAAAATGTTGTGTGTATTCTTGTAAATGTTTTGTTTCGGCATAAGGACTAAATAAAGGCTGTTCAAAATCAAAATATAAATCGAATGAATATAATATAAATAATAAATATAAATCTAATAATTAAAGCAAAGACATGTCTTGATTTTCTTAACCATTCCCCTCTCTTACTTTCAGGGCGCATCTGTGCAAACGGAGAAGTGCAATAAGAGCATTGCGGATACTTGGGATTGCATCTATGAGACAAGCGGCAGCATTTTGACCAAGTCGAATGTCACCGAGGTTCATCAGGAGATTGGTCCCGGCTGCCGCTGTGGCTGCATTGTGCACCTGGGCGCATCCAAGCCAAAGCGAATCATTGCTGGAGCCACGCAAAGCTGTCCTGGCCGCTCCTTCTGGCTAATTCAGGTAAGCTGAAGGATAACAAAGCTTTTACCTTTAATCCTCTCTTTAATCACACTTTCATCCGCAGGTTGATGGCGAGGAAAACATTTCAATGCAACTCAGTTTTTTGAGGCTGCCTTGCTCCGCGCAGTATATAAAGGTGCGCGACGGGCCGTCGCTGTCATCCACTTTGTTGGTGGAGCTCAATGGAGATGGCGCCACAGCGGGCGGCATCCGGCGTCCCTCTGCTGACGACGCCAATCATGTTGGCATTCCGTTAACAGTTGAGTCGAGCGGAGCACAGCTGCTGGTGGAATTATTTTCGGGCGACGTGACAGCAAACGGAACATCAATTGGGGGCTACGATGCTGCATCTTGTACCGGAGGTTTCATGGCCAACGTCAAGCCCTTAGGCAAGTTAAATAATCTTCTTTAAAGTATTCTTTAATTAATATTGCCTCTTTTATGCAGTGGGCAAAAGTGGTAGTAATATCACCACAGTTCTGGCCGCCACACGCCTGTCGGCCAAAGGTCGCACGAATTCGCAGAAAAAATCACTGGCCAAGATGCGCTTCACTCTAGTTCATCTAAGCGCCATGGTATTCGCTACTATTATAATCATAATAAGCGCGCTTTTAGGTAAGTTAACTGACGAGTTGACGTTTTTCAGAAAATACCGCATGGAAAGCAAACAGCAAACAGTTCGTTTAATGGCTAAGAGAAATTAGAGTTTAAATTTGGCGCCAATTGCGCAAATTTGCTCTGCGCATCAAAAGTTTCAGACCAGGGCTGCATAATGAACTTTTTACGAGCTACAAACAAATACGAGAGAGTGCATACGTGACGTCATAAAGTCAGTGTTAATCGAAAATGCATCAGCTTGTTGCATTATTTGCTTTATAGTCAACTATCATTTATGTATTTCAACAGGTGCTCAATATGTAGTGCGGTATCGAAAATATCATTTGGCCGTGGCACGTCGGCAGGATGAAGGCTCGCACCTGCACACGCCACGAGCATCGTTAAGCTCGCTGCACGACCCGCCATCACGTGCCATTTCAACGACCACCCTGCTCTCCGAGGTGATTTATCTTGTGAAATTGCGGCCCAAACATCAACTGCGGCACTCCATACTGCGTGAAAGCGCTGATGTCGAGAACGTGACCCATGAAACCGAGTTCAAAGAGGACGAGCAAATGGTGAAGAGGTAAGCTGTGGCCCATAAACAACGTACATGAATGAAACTCATACAAACGATTCCAATTTTGTAGCGAGGAAGTGCCGGCAACATTTGGTAGCACTGCTTCCTTGATGACTTTGCGCAATGAACACGCCTCGTTAACGTCCTTGTCGCCGGCGACCGACAGTCGCAGTCCAGTTGGCTCGCCGCTATCTGGCGATCCGGAACTGCAGCTGCAACGCCTGGATGGAGTGGAGAAATCCACCACAACGCACACAGGTGGAGAGCCTTTGAGTTGCAAGGATAGTGCCAAGGACTCGGAGTCCATTATATCGTCAGGCATGAGTTCCTTGTGCAATAGCCCACCTCTGAACAGCCACAGGCTCAGCAAGTACTCCGATCGCTATGACGCAGTTACTCTGAAGCTGCTCAGCTCCCGCCTGGACGAGAGTCTGCGTGATGCTGCCTCTCTGAACTCGAATTCCGGCTCGCTGTGCCTGGGTCGCATGGGATCACGCAGTGTTAGCGCCTCCCTAACCAATGTAAGCAACGCAGCTCTCTGTGATTTATTCTGTTCTAATGGCATCGCATATTCCCTTGCAGGGCTGCTACTCTCCGGCAGCGAGCGTGGTCAGCACGGCCACCATACGCACAACTAGCAATCCGAAAGAGTCCAAGGAGAAGCAGAACCGCAAGAAGCTCTTGGCGCGACCTGGCTCTGAGTTCTCGCTGGGCAATCAAGAGGAGCTTGAGATGGACTACTATGATTACAATGTAATCAATGCGGGTGCTGCACCCGGCTCTTACCTAGGCATGGATCCAGCCTACTGCATTTGGATACCTCCGTTTGAGGAGACGCCTGAGCGAGAGGATGAGGACAAAACACCCGAACCAACGTCAATTCCCGATGAAACGAATCCAACTTTTGATGAAATACAAATGCCCAAATATGGTCACTACCTATGTCCGGGCAGCAAGTCCACAACGACAGACAACACGCCCAGCTCAGAGGAACGTTCCCTGCCCAGCAGCCAGCATCAGTCCAAGGCCACCTCACCCAACGAAACGTCCCAGAGGAGCACGCCAACCAAGCAGCCAACTCCATATATGTCTCGCAAGCAGCGCCGCCAGGCCAGGCAGCAATTCCGTCTGAATGCAGCGAACTCTGGCAATGAATCTGACTCTGGAACACTGCGGCCCAGGCAAACCGACAAGCCAGAGGCTGAAATAGCTCCAGTACATCAGAGCATAAGCAAGGCGGAAACCCACATGGACTCTGACCAGTCAATGACCGGTTCATACGTGGAAAAGGAGACGCTTGTGGAGAAGTCGTCCCGTGATCTGCAGGAGTACCTACATCTGGATGACATCCAATTCGCCGACGAAAGCGGCAGTGATTACGAGGCAGCCCATCTGAAGAATAAGGCCGCAACCAAAACCCTACTGGAGAATGCAAATCGAACAAAGTCGAGAGAGGCTGCCGTATAAGGAGTGGCCGCTTAGTGTGTACATAGATCGGGCGAGAGCCCTTAAGATAGTATATGTTACGGGTAGATACATATATCAGCAGTACGAGCATAAGACCACCAATAGGTTAGTTGGAAGTGTTGACTTAAAGATAATAGACTTAGGCAGTGTAGCAAACGACTTCAATTATTATATAGGTTCGAGTACAGCTCAATAGATGATCATCATAAATTATGCACTCAAAGATTCTCACTAATTGATATATTTAATATACATGTATATAAGGAAATTATAATGCTAGTCACTTGGATTAAGTTAAAGCGTCGAGTTGACCATTTTGGTATTTTATTTGTAATTAGAAACTTTTAATTGCGGCCTTTTTGTGATTACATTGTTTACCTATCAAAATCTAGTCAAAATTATTTATACATATATAGCCCATAGAGGTCTTGCTGACTTACCTTAACTTGTCTCGACTGTACTTAGTTTGTAGCTTATAGAAATCAAAATCAATATACGAAACTACATACATTCAATTTTTATTTAACGAATAAACTAATTTCACGAAGTCCGTCTAAATCCTGTACAAACATCGCTTGAGCTGTGCAGCTAGTGTCTGGGTGTACGGTAGACAGACGGAACAATTTGACAACACGGCGTTATATCATCTGTGCATTGAAATTTCAGCTTGGATTCATGTGGGGCCTCATCAGCTGGCTTAAGCCGTTGCATGTTTCTCAGGTAGATCTTTAGCTGTTGACGTTTCATTTGGCGCTTCAGCTTGGCTATGAATGGATCATATCCTCTGTTTCGATATAATCTATTGCAAATGCAACAACAGGATTTGATCTGATGATCTTTCGCATCTGAAGGCACTTTCTTCACCTTTCTTCGTTTGACGGCAGCTTTAAGTTTAGGGACCGGCTTCACCTCTGACGGTGTCTCTTGATCTTTTTGGTATATCACATCATATGGGTAGTAGAGAAACGATGCAACGTCCTCAACTGTTACTCTTTGTGCTGTAAAGTCAGAGTAAACAGACTCATATGATTCGTTACTAGCCTTTTGCTTTATATCTTCCAAGGTTGAGCCGTTTTCTGTTGCTGAGAGGGACTTTACAAATTTGATCACCGGTGGCTGGGACTCAAATTCTCGTTGAAGTGCGTTGAGTCTTTGCACGGATTTTAATCGCGAGTGATTGTCAGGATCATGATCATCACGACGTTTAATAGTTACTCCTATTTTGGGTAAGGCTGGAATACCTAAGTCTTTGCCAAAGTTGTGTGTGCGCTCAACTGAATAAGAGATCGACGATCCTTTTTCTCCTTTCGAATTAGTATTACTGATGGTCGGTGTGTAACCGTCGGTGCCTGCATGTAACCACCAGTTCTTCATATGAGCGCCGATCGTGTGTGTGCTGGATTGTCTCAGATCAGGAACGCTTGTTTTGCTTTCATTTATTTTTAGTTTACTAGTTTTTGAACTAATTCTCATTAATTTGTTGTTTGACAACGAAGTTAGTGAAGTATTCACTGTGGCCCTTTTTTTTTTGGCGAACGCATTCAAATAGCCGAGTTCCCTATATTTATTTAGATTAGATCTCAAATTATTGAAAAAACTATCTTCCCTATCAATTTGTTCTCCAGCTCCAATAACATTTACAACTTTTGTATTTTCGACAACACGTAATCCTCCATTGCTAATTTTCAACTTTTTTTTCTTTTGTGAAGATGTTTCACTCATTGTGACATTTGATGTCTGATCCGTTGCTACATTTGTGTCCCTCGATAAGTCTTCACTAAACATCGGTGAATGTTCCCCAGATGGTACTTTTCTAGTGAAACTCTTTTTGTTATATGTTTGCTTTCTTAGCATATATTCGTTCGCTCGCTCATAATCTTCTAGGATATCAAGACTGTCATTGCTGAACATCTTCTGCCAGTCTCTTTTCTGCTCTCTTTTTCTCCTGTTTTCCAGAGTCTGTTGCTTGCTACTAGGTCTATATTTCTTAAAAGGACGATCACTGTTCTTGAAAAATGCATCAGACTGATAGATGGAGTGATCCCAGTCTATTGTGTCCAGCGTACTACCGACATCAACCACTACCACATTATTGTTTGACGTAGTCTTTTGCATTTTCTTAGGTCTATCAAGACTCTTCCTAAACTTTACATTCATAAATTTCTGATTCACACTCTTTCTTTGCGGAAGTACTGTGGTATCCTCAATGCAGGCTATTTTGGTATCCGTTTTCGGGTCCTTAGGTAAGTGATGGATTTTCTTAACTTTTGCATTTGGAATTTTTTGTTTCTCATCTTTTCGGTGTGTCTTTAAATCAATCCTCTTTTTACTAATATCCCTTTTCTTTTTCTTAGGTAAATTATGGATCTTCTTGTGTTTTACATCACTAATTTGTCGTTTGCCTTCGTTTCTGTGCACCTTTAAATCAATACCCTCTTTTTTATTATCCCTCTTCTTTTGAATCTTCAAATTTAGATTCCCAGCTTTTTTCTTTTTAGCTTTTTTTGTTTCCAGAACTTTTTTCTTTACTTTAATATCCTTTACTTCAGCCTTCAGCTTTTTCAATTCATTTGTTTCCGGACGTTTCTTCAGAACTATTCCCTGTACTATCTGGCCGCTTTCCCTTTTCTTAGGTACATTATACAGCTCCCTATATGGTAGACTCTTTATCGGTTCTTTTGTTTCAGGAATTTTTCGATTTAAATGCAATTTCTTTTTCTTGATATCTCTCTTAAGTTGATTATATGTATGATATATATTCAGAATATTTGCATCACCAATCCCTTTTTTCCGTTTCTTTGCTTGAGGTATTTTTTCCCCTACGCCAATGCCCCGTACCATATCAGATCTTATCCTTCTTTCAGGTACAGAATATATATTCACTACTTGTGTCTCCGGAATTTGGTTGTTTCCACCAATAACCTCTTTTATGTCATCCTTATTTTGTCTCTTTCCTTTTCTCTTTCTCGCTGCAACAATATTTCCTTCTAAGACATTTATTTTCTTGTTCTTTTGTATTTCTAATAAATTTGCATTACGATCTATTAAATTCTTTTTCATACTATGTTTCTTCAATGGATGAGCTCTGATCCCATGCGCATTCTTTGGTTCCAGACTTTTAAACATGAGATCAATGGATTTTGTCAACCACTCGATGGAGGACAATGAAATTGCGTTATTTTTAGTTTCATATCTCTTAGGTTGAACTGGAGTTTTGTAATACTGAACGATATTCAATTTAGGCACATTGTTTGGCTTTCTCTGCAAATTAGGTGGTACCTTGTATGGAAACTTTTTTGAATGGGCTGCTGGACCATACAGAACGGCGTGGCTGCTGGCTTCACTTGATACTTTCTTCATTTTAGGCTTGCGCACAGTAGCAGACGTAAATCTGTCATCGGTCAATTTACCCAGGCCTTTGCAGTTATACAGTATATTAAAAAAATTTCCTTTGTTACGTCCAGTCTCCGAAACTGTTCCCTTGAACCAGTTTTCCAATTCGATGGCGGAGTACAGCAATGGAACCTTTGGATACATGGCCAGTGGCTGATGAGCTGGACTATTAGCTCCATGTCTCTGGGCTGTTGGCCAAGCGAGTGACCTGCTATCAGTTCTCTCGATCTTGGTCAATAGCCCCGAGACTGTTTTCGGCTTCTGATTACCATTCAAAATTTCCGAGGACATCGCTTATCAATATTCGCAATAACTACCATAGAAGACAAACCTAACTGATTTAGAGGATTTTTTCTCATTTTATACATTGTTTGCTAAATAAAAATGTAGAAAAGTATGCCAGATTTTTGATGCTTTTTTATTCTCATACACGAAAAGAGTATATTGATTTTGCGCAACTTCTGAAGGTTATTGAATGCATTATAGCTGGAGATTTGTGTTTCAAAAGAAACAGTATTCTAAGAGAAGCTCTTATTGATCGTTTTAAGCAGAATCAAAAACAATATTTATTATTAATTATAATTGTTATTTATAATAGATATGAAAGCTGATCTCAGACGCATTTCATTTTTGTTAATATTTCAAATAAAGAAACACGTTTTCTTGTTTTGTTTTGTTTATATTTATATATGGCAAATTTAACAAATTTTATATTTTTTAAAAATATACATAGATACAGCTAAAAAACAGCTCACTGCGGACTGCAATTCTGCTCACATTTTTTCTTCTTTTCGTTTATTATTATTATCAATTAAAATAGCTAATAAAATTATGCAAATACATACGTATATATATACATATACATATACATATATAAATATATAGACACATATATAACAGCATATGTATAGAAACATGTATAAATAAATAAATATGCATATGTATTTATTTATACACACACATACATATGTTTATTTATATATTTTAAATATTTCATATAGTTTAGGCTTAAACATTACATACAATCACACGCACTTAGTTTATATACTAGAAAAAACACATTTTCAATCATATTATTTTTTTAGGTTTTTTTTTTATATATGTATATTATCATTCATTTGTTGTGCAAATTAAATAAACTAATTTCATGTTATGCTTAAAATGTTTTTAGTTTCTCTTTTATTTAGCTGCGCATTGGAGAAGTTACAAGTTTCATATTGTTTGCATGTGTGTGTGTGTGTGTGTGTGGGATGAATTCGCGCGCTCTTGAAGGTATGCATATAGTATTATTTATATTAGTATTATCATTATTATTATTATAAATCAATAACTAGTCTGAAGACCTTGTGACTAGACGGTTCTCTTTTTTTTTTTTTTAATTTTTAATTTATATATTTGATGTTTAATGGCTAATCTAATATGTATATGCATTTAGTAAATGTTTCTCAACAGACATACACACACACATATATAGTACATATATCTGTGTGTATATGTGCCATGTAACATGCATAGAGTTTCGTTTAACACAAGCACAAACACACAAAACGACAATAAACAACATACAACATATATAGTATAAGCCAAAATAGTATTCTTTAAATGATGTGTGTGTGTGTGTGTTGTTGAGTGTATATGTGTATGTGTGTGTGTAATTTAAACCTTAGACATTCGTTTCCTGCTCGCACTGTTCCTGAGTAACTTTCTCCCCCGCCCCTCCCAAAATTATATACGACCTTTGAACGCTCATCCCAATTATACAATACTCTCACGATCCCGAGCCGTCGAGGTGGCAGTCACGCCCTGCACACTGCTGGGCAGGATGCCTACGCGTCGCAACGTGGAGTCGCCACTGCGCATGCCGTTGCCCTTGAACAGGTTGACCACCCAGTTGCTGACTTTGCTGCTGCCACCGCCGCGTGTGCCACGCTGATTGCTGCCTGGCAGCAATGCCAGGCTACCATCGCCGCCCGCTTGGTCTTGGCGTCCATCAATGTCAGCGGCATAGCTGACACTGTTGCCATGTCCCGGCACGCCGGGCTCCATGTGCTCCAGCGACCGCCAGCGCTTGGAGGTCGCCATCAGCTCCTCGGGCGGCGCGGTTAGGGAAGCCTGTCGCTGCAGCAGCGGCGACTGCATGTCCTCCTCGATGCTCATGCCACCGTTGCAGTTGTTGTTCAGATGCTTGGCGCAGCTGCTGGCGGAGACGTTGCTGCTGCGCCGCCTGCTGCTCTCGCCGGCGGGCACAATGCTGGGCTGGGCGTTGGCAAAGCTGCTCGAGTAGCGCAGCATGGGCAGCTGCCCGTTGTCGTGACGCATGAGCAGGCCCCGCTCATCGTCGTAGCTATCATTGGCGTCCACCGGATTGGCCGACATATTATCATCCGTTTCATCCTCGACCGCCGCATCGCCATTGGGATTGCCGCTGATCAGCGAGACGCCCGTGTCCAGGGAGCGTGAGTTGTTCTTGGACAGCTTCGAGGGCGGCAGCTTGCCGCGTTCGTGTCGCTTGCGCGGCAGCTGCATCGGCATGGGATCCAGCGAGCGTGACTCCCGCAGCAGCAGCTCCGCAATATTGTGATGCGCCACAGCTGCTGGCAGCGCCTGATCCTCGGGCAATGCATTGATGATGCGATGTGGCCGCACCATGGCCAACGGCTTGTGCAGCGCATTTGGCTGGCGCACTAGGCCAGCGGCACTGATGCCGCCGTTCGACTCCAGTTCGCCATCGAGCATGGCGGCTTCGTTAGTATCACAGTTCGTTTCATTTGTATCGGAATGATTCAGCGTGCTGAGCGAGGCCTGCGCGGACTCCAGCAGCGCGCCGCCAACAAAATGGCCGCCCAGTCCATTCACGGGTCGTTCCCGTTCCCGTTCACGTTCCCGTTCCCGCTCCCGTTCTCGTTCCCGCTCTCGATCCCTCTTCGATGCCAGACGCGGTGACTCACGCGCCACCTGATAGACAGAGCCCTGCAGACTGTAGGTGGACTCCACATCCGTTGGACGTGGCACGCTGCTCTGTCGCCGCGATCCAGTGCCACAATTGTGCATGGCCAGCAAACTGGGCTGCCTGGAGTCCGGATTCAGCTTGGGACTCTTCCTGGGCCGGCTGAACAGCGGCGGCGGCATATCCGTCATATCCACCACCTTCTTCTGTATGGCCTTCTCGTTGGCGCCCACCAGCCACCAGGTGACCACCTCGCCCTTGCCCTTCATGCTGACTAGCCCTCGCTTCTCGGTTATGTAGCCGCCACCCAGTTTGTCCAGTGCCAGCTTACACTTATTGGATATGTGTATCTTAAGCGCCTCGCCGTTGCTCTCCATGCGCGAGGCCGTGTTCACAGTGTCCCCGAAGAGACAATATCTGGGCATGGTGAGACCCACGACGCCAGCCACCACCGGACCCGTGTGCATGCCGATGCGCAGCTTCAGCGTCTCGTTGGGTCTGTGGGCAATGCGATGCTGTTTGACTGCATGCAGCAACTCCAGCGCCATGGACGCAATTTCACCCGCGTGCCGATCCCCGTTCTTAATGGGCAGACCAGAGACCTGCAAAGAACAGACACAATTAGTTTCTATACCAATTCGGCAATAGAGCTAGACAGAGCCCACTTACCACCATGTAGGCATCGCCTATGGTCTCCACCTTGTAGACATCATAGCCGCGTATGATGCGATCGAACACCGTGTAGAGATCATTCAAAAAGTTTACCACCTGCAACGGTGTACTCTCCGCGCTGAGAGCTGTGAAGCCCACAATGTCGCTGAAGTAGATGGTGACCTGGTGAAGAGATAAATGATTCACTATGATTGGCATCCAATGGAATAGCATTTGAAGTGGGGCCTACCTGATCGTAGGAAACCGGCTCTACGCCCTGACCCATGGTCAGTTTCTCGGCCACCGATTGCGGCAGCATGCGATGCAGCAGATCCTCCGTCTTCATTTTCTCCTCGCACAGCAAACGCGTGCGCTCCGTAACAATTTCCTCCAAGTTGTTGGCATACTTCTCCATCATTTCCATCATTTGATCCATGATGTTTTTGGTTTTTCCACCTCGCATCTTCTTCAACCGATTGCTGGAAACGGTAAATACGTTAAATTATTATGAATGAATCATAACTATGTTCAGTTTACTCACCGTATGGCACTGAACTCGGGTCGGTCGTCGGGATTCTCGGCCCAGCAGTCCTTAATGCAGGCCAGCACATAATCCGGACAGGACTCTGCCTCTATAATGGACTCGACTTCGGGACGAAATGGCTCTGAGCCTTTGAGTGGCTGCTGCTTAACTAAGTCCACAATTTGCTTTGGTTCAAAGTTGGTTTGTCCAAATGGACCCTTACGACTAAATATTTCGTACATTATGATGGCAAACGCGTAAACATCGCCCTTCTGGCTGCCGTGCAAATGATGATTGCGCAACAGCTCCGGGGCGCGCCAGAGTTGATCTGCACGGGAGGAGAGAAATTCGAATAGACATATCATTTAGCATATACATATATCATAGGATTTAAGACCTACTTCTGTAATGCTGATGCTCGCCAATGGACTCGCTCTCGGCGCATTGGCGCAGCTCATGCAGTCCAAAGTCCGTGACCTGCAGCATCCAGCGCGAGGTGACGACACAATTCGAGGATTTGAGATTGCCATGATAGATTAGCTGTGAACTGTGTATATACAGCATGCCCTGCAAGGATATGGAACAGATGCTTAACTCAAGAGCTCGATCATATTATATATGTATGTAGCTCCCACCTTGATAAGGTCATTGATGAGCGAGGCTATGAATAGATCATCCAGCTTGATGTCCTCGTTCTCAATGATGTCGTACAGGCTGCCCTTGGCGCAGTAATCCGTGACTAGCAAAATTCGTGTGGGCTCCACACAGGCGCCGATGAAACTATTGATATTATCGTGGCGCAGCTCACGCAGCAGACGCATCTCCTTCATGATCTCGCGTGAGATGTCGCGCTTGCGCGGAAACTTTAGCTCCTTGATGCGCACAACGGCGCCGCGCAGACGCGCCGTCGAGGTAACAAACTGATGGGACCAACGGGAGCCAAAGCTCTGAGCGCTCATCAAACTGACCTGCAGAGGAAACATCGTTTTAGTACAATCTATTCCATCAGTCAATGGTCCGCTCGCTTACCTTGCTGGGCGATGAGACGATCTCATTGCCCGAATAGTCCTTGATCTCGCATATGTCTATCTTCCAGAGCAGACCCTCGATTTCCAGCTCAATCTTCCACTTGCGATAGATGCTCATGGTAACCACACCGGAGCAAAACAGCAGAACGCCCAGCACCACCGCCGCCACAGTGGACGTGTAGTGGGTGTCGTCCTTCTTGCACAGCTCATTGGCAAAGCCGCACATCGGCTCATCGGTGGGCTTTTCG